ATTTTTATCACAGTGGTCTTCTCCAGTATTTGCCCTTTTGTGATAGATATATTTCACCAAATACACTGTCCTTTACACTCATCCATGCTTTGTAGTATTTACTGGTTCTTCATTGTTTCACAGTGTATACTCTCTTGGGTGAATGTATCACAGATTCTCTTATTATCTTATTAGTTGTTGATGGGCAGTTGATCTGTTTCCATCCCTGTGCTATTGTGAATAATCATATGATAAACATACATGTGCATGCTGGACCTTTGACTTCCTTAGGTTATATTATCTATAGTGGAATAACTTGATCAAATGATATTTCTGTTTTCAACTTTTTGAGGAATTGCCACAGTACGTTCCATAGTTGTTGTTATGTACTTAGTTGGAACCGAGGCATGACTGACCCTCCAGCAGATTTTCAGAGGCAGTGTCAGTCCTGTAGGAGATTGCTCCCCTTTCTCCCATGGATCAGCTAGTAAATTCAAATCACACACTTCTGTGTCAGCAGCCCAATTCCTTACCACAAAGTCACCCTGTAGCCGTATCATTTTACATTCCTATCAGAAGTATATGAAGAGTTCTCATTTCTTTGGATCCGTACCCACATTGTTGTTTGCTGTCCTGTTGAACCTTGATATTGTTGCTGCAGTGAGATTGTGTCTGGTTTGATTTGCTCTTCTTGATTGGGTAGTGATCTTGAGCAGGTCTTTATATGGTTTTTTGGGTCTTCTTATTGCCACCTGAATGTCTTCTTTGGTAAAGATTATTTTCTGATCTTTTGCCCATTTTGTAATTTTGTTGTTTGTCTTTTCTTTGTTGAAGTGTTAGAGTATTCTATAAATTTTAGATATGAGTCTCTTATTAGATAGAGTACTGGTACACCAAAAGATAATGTGAACTAAAGGAATAGAATCAAGAACCCAGAAGTGAATCTATCCACTCCAAATCAATGGATATTTGACAAGGAGTCAAAACCCATCAATTGATCAAATAATAGGCTTTTTAACAAATGGTGATGGCAAAATTCTACCTGCTAAAAAACTGAAACAAGATCCACATCTCACTCCATACACAAACCCCAAATCAAAGTGGATCAGGAATTTAGTGGGAAAGTCCTAAACTGGAAAGATTTCAATGAAGCGGCTGGTGGGTTTGAAATGCTCACCTTTGGGTTGGCAGCTGAGTGCTTAATCTTTCTGCCACCAGGGTGCCTTCACAAAAGGTGGTTAAATCCATCCCAGTTTATTTTCTTTCAAATTTACTTGGAAGTACTGTGTTTTGCTGTGTTTTTATATTCATATTTTGAGTTTCAGAAATATAAAGTCTACTATTATTTTCCTATGAACCTGGAGAGAAGATGAAAGTGTCAAGGTCGAGGACTCCCCTTCATAGGGTTGCTATAAGTCACCTGCGACTTGACGGCACTTAACAACAACCACCAACACCACCACCACCACAATTATTATTTTAAGTAATAAGTTTCAAAAAATATCTTGATTTGAGGAGAGTTTGATGTGATCTGCTTCACCCTCTCTCCAGTTTTCTAAGACATTTTGAGTTGTGATGTGGTCACTTTCCAGATTAAGCTCATTTCAAATTTTCCATAAAATCTGTAGTACTCCCCCATACCCCTGAATTCTCCTTTAGTTGGAAAGACAACTTGCATTGCATTTTCTGCCCTGGCTGGCATTTCATCTTGCATCTTACATTCCTTGCAAATTCTACTCCATTGGTACATGTAATGTTAGCCTTCTAGGGAGCCAGATAGATTGCTTCCGGACAGATCCAATTTTTGTTCAGGGTGGTTTCATAATTTGCCTTGTAATGCTCCTGTCCAGGATTTAAAGCTCAGGTATGACTTAAATTGCAGGAAATTTCTTTTTCAAAACTTTTTAGGTGGTATGTACAAGTCTAGAGTCTCAAGTCATGCTTCCAATAACTTCATGAAATAACTTGTGTTAGTTTTCATTTCAGCCTTTAATGTTATCTTTCTTTTTCTCCCTTATAACTTCTCATCCTCTCTTTTCCTCCCTTCCCCCTTTCTCATCCATGGCAAATGTATACAAGGTGGCATTGAACTCACATACTATTTTGAGTTACTTTTCAGTAGAGTAGTATATGAAAAATTGTTTCCCTTTCATGTAGTGACTGTATGGGAAATGTGGTAGCTTTTTTGTTGTTGTTAAACTCTTAAGAAATTGGGGAGCTATGATGCTTATACTCTAGGAAGTTGTGCTGATGGAAGATTACCCCAAAGGTTGAGCTTCTCAACAATTTTAACCCTTCAGTTTCACTAAAGTAGAAAAATAGACAACCTCTCCTTATGTGATTTATAGCCCTGGCTTTCCAGAGGAGGGTCATCTGTGAGTCATTTCAGACTCAGTTGCCGTAATGGAATGAGGGAGTGGACATTGGCAAAATTGCATAAGCTCTACCCGTGAGATCTTCAGATATACTCTATAATTTTTTTATGTTGATTTATGTTTAGTAAGATCATGACCCTGATGTGCCAAATGCAATATTGGTCACTGATGGTGGACAGTGTTTGGAGGAGCTCCCGAATTAAAACAAGCTTGGAAGAAGAAGTGACATCGACTTCCGAAATAGCTTGCCCCCAGAAACCCTATGAACTTGGAGAAATGAAGAAAGTTCATGGGTCGCTATGAGTCACCTACAACTTGATTGCATTTAACAACAACAAGAAGATCATGTCTATAATTTTTAGAATCTCTGGGAAAGTGAATATTCTGAGTTTTAAGATGAGTATATATATATTTATATATTTTGCTATGCTCTGAAATTAGTAGTTCACTGAGAGAGATAGATGTATGAATAAATAATTATATTGCAGCTTGCTAAGTTTTTTAAAATAGAATTTCCCCTAATTTTTCCATATGTAAAAAGAGCAAGGGCAACTCCACGTCCCTGTCAACAACAACAAAAACACAGAAACAATTCCCATGAGGTCAGACATGTCACCTACACTCTTGCACCTATTTATACTAATTACAACACCAATTTCCAGGTCCTGAATCCATTGTAATAACTCACAGACCACAGAGAGCCATATTAGGGAAGCCAAATGCCATAATTCAGGTTGACAGCAAGACACAGTTTCTCAGTCAAGGCAGCCCGACGTGGGCTCGAGGCTTTAGGCAAGTGTTACAAAGCCTGTAGTTCTTTGACTTATGGCTCTCCTATCACCAGTCCTCCCAAAAATTTAGGCAAAGGCTCTTGGCTCTGGTTCTGGAAGTAGCAGTTCCTCCATGATAAGTTGCATCTCGTGTCAGGTCTCTGATTCTCTGCTGTGACATCTCTGTTTCAGCCATGGCTGCTGCTGCTTCTGCTGCTTCTGTAGGTCTAGCAGGTAGGCACAAAGATCTCTGGGCCAGAAGGTTATAAGTTTACAAAGCTGAGATCCAGACCCAGATGAGAGGCTGTGGTGAATGTGTCGAGCTCCCTCCTGGGTCCTGTTCACCAGCCTCACTTTGAAGAAGTACTGCTTCACGGAGAATTATACAAGTCAGATGTGGACAAGGGAGGCACATGTAGGTATAGTCAAGAATTTTTGAAGTAATTGAAGAGATGCAAATTTCTTTTGGTAAAACACTGTTGTACTTTTCACGGTTACTTTTCAGTGAAAAGTTACTTTTTGTTTTGGGTTTGCTTTTTTCTCAGACTCAAACTGAGCTTATTGTACATAGAATATTCCCAATTATATTGTCTTTACAAGACTATCTAAAGACTATTAGACTCCTTACTGCTGTATGGGAGAAGGCTATTAATATAGGCAGTGCACATCGGTGTATTCTCTTTCTTCAAGCCTACTACATACGACTTGATTCTCTCTAGTAAGGAGATGTTGCTGCTCTTAGTTATGTCCTTTTAAATTTGTTCTGCCTCATAGCAACCCTGTGGACCACAGACTCCTGTTGTCATCATCACTACGGCCGTTACACTTAAACCCAGCACTGTTTCGGTCCTTCTCTAGAGGGTCTTCTTTTTTTTCTGACTTTTATTTTACCAAGCATGATGTCCTTCTCTAGAATTTATTTGCCTAGTGGGTTCCTCAGCTGTCTTATATCTTAAATAACTTTTCAGAAGGAATCTTTTTTTCCATTGAGAATATTTTAGTTTTATCAAATCTTCATGATTTTAAAGCATTTCAACAGTGTAGGCGTTTCAAACCTTAGCCTGTTTTAAAGTTACTCTTTAGAAACTTCTTTTTTTAAATTTTCTACTAGTTTATTTAAAAATATGGAACGCTTCACAAATTAGCGTGCCATCCTTACACAGGGGCCACCATAATAATCTTCTCTGTATTGTTCTAATTTTAGTATATGTGCTGCTGAAGTGAACACTTAAAAGTTATTTTTTTAATGAACTAAAGATGGCCAAGTCTGTTTTTTCTGGATTTGAAGCCACTAATGCAATCTTTTCTATAATTTGCCTTTTGTACTGCTCTACTAAAGCTTATTGAAAGCTCACATTTACTATTGTGACAACAGATTTTATTCTTTGATACATTTATGGGAATATATCATTAAAATGATAAAGTGTTTTTTCCTCTTGAAATGTTTTTCTTTTTTCCTTTTACTAAAATAATATTGTATCTTTTAAGTAAAATTTATTTTAATTGTGATTTTAACAAAAATTTACAGAAAAGTTGGATTTTCATTCATTCATTGTTCGTTCATTCATCCCTTTTCCCTTTCCTAGTTAACTTTGTATTTTTAAAAGAAAATTTTTATTTTATACTAGTTTACTTATAAAGTGTGTATACTATACTTCCCTTTGTTAACAACCTGGTTCACTTACTGCTTCATTTCTGGGCTCCATAAATTAACCTCAGAGACTGAATCATGAAAATGTGTTTTATTTAACTAAAGTCATCAGTGGTGTCAGATCTATTTTCTAAGTCACTTCTTTGACTTTCTTATATGGATCTTACGGATATTGCCTCTACTTAAACAATCAACCCCTGATTTTACTTTTTATCATTTCTTTAGGAAAGACATTTAACCAATGAAGAAGAGACCATGAGAAAGATGGAAGAGTCCAGATTGCAACTCAAGGATCAGCTGCTTTGTCTGGAGACTGAACAAGAGTCCATTTTTGGCATGATAGGAAAGGAAATTGATACAGTTTGTAAAATCTTCTGGAAGGACCCAGAGAAATTAAAAGTAATTACAAATTTTATTATGTCTTAAAATTTCAGCTCATTTCTTGACTAATGATTATAATGTATTTTTAATGAATAGTTACATAGGAGCCACGTTGTTTCCAGAAAATTTTCTAAAATAAAGAAATGTAAAGAATTTACTGCATTTCAAGAATGTGACACTATAGTTATTGCATAATCGAAGTGAAAGAAAATGTAATGGTAATTCACTGAATTGCCAGAATCTCACCTTGTAGAGGAAAACATCTTGAGAGTAAAGCTATGGGAGGCATCTTTACTCCAGGAATTAAGAGTTCTAGGCTTTGACCTTTTCATCATCACAGGCTGTATTTTTGTTGTTTTATTATTGACTGATATTTATTGAATACTAGCTTTATTCCAGTAAATAAAGGTAGTTGTGGTTCTTGAGAAGTGTATTAAACATACCATGGACTACCATGACAACACCCAAGTCTGTCTTGGATTGGAGAAACCAGTTTGATCCTTGGAGGCAAGAATTTTGAAGCTCTGTCTCACATTCTTTGGGCTGCAAGGAGGACCATTCCTTGGAGAAGGACATTTTGCTTGGAAGGATAGAGGGTCAGCACAGAAGAAGACACTGAATGAGATGGAATGAATCAGTGACTGGCAGTGGGATCAGGCGTGTTGGAGATGGTGAGGTTAGCTCAGGATAGAGCAAGATTCAGAGCTTTGTGTATACACCAAGAGTTGTATGTGACCCAGAGTTGACCTTCTGGTAGATTTTCAGAGGCAGTTGAGTGCGCAGGAAGAGATTGCCTATTGCCCATCCTTCCCCTGCGGAGCAGCTAGCTAGTGGCCTCAGTTCGTGTTCCGTTTGGGATTGCAGCGCAGCTTCTGGCCACCCGGCCACCAGAGCTTTCTCTCTTGCTCATGAGTGCTCTCACTCTCTCGCTTTCTGTCTCTATCTCAATATCTGCATCTCTTTAATCCACAAGTCAACTCTGTCAGGTACACTATTTCAATTTATTTTAGCAAAGAAGAAACAAACACTCAAACCTTTAGTTTAATGCAAGAACCCAGATTCTAATCCTTTAGTTCTAACTCTGGAGTCTAAACAATCATTTTGCTATTTGTTTCCCTTTAAAAAGAAATTATGTATGTATGCTATTAATGGTGTATTTTGATGAGAATATTCAGAAATAATAGGAAATGCACAAGGAGTCTAAGACCTACTTTTCTTATCATTTATCTTGATTCTCCCTCTAATTCGCAATAGTTAAACTATAGATTCCAGCATTTGCGGGCACTATTAAGGCCTCGCTATAGAGTTGCCTTAAGGTACTGGTTCCTAGTGGAAATCTATGCTTAGTCTTGATTTTTGAGAATTTGCTTGTTTTTACTCTTTAAATTTGTATTTATTGAACAAAACAACTGTCTCTTGTGATGTTTTTTGCTAGATAATACAGTAGAAAATAAATTAATAAATAGTCCTTGTAAAAATGAATTATGTATAATTTAGATTTTACATCTCTACAATAAAATATGGTTCTGACATAGAGTTGGAATCGATCCACAGCTGACCCCTGTGGTGGGATTTCAGAAGCAATAAATCACACGGGAGGAGATAGTGATACTCAGCGTAGTTTTAAGTGACAAGGTAAATAAAATAAGAAAAGCTATCATGGAAGTTTTCATTCCTTAAAGGGAAGTACCACTATTAACTTCAGGTGCTGGAACTGTTAAATTTCATTTAAAGGAACGTTTGTTTGGTAAGCAATACGCGTAGCATATTATAGTGTAGTTCTCATTTAACTTCTCTGTTTACTCCATTTGATGGCATAATGACACTCAGATTATAGCATTGACATATACATTTTTTTACTTTCCAGATACTTATATTTTAATTTTGTAACTCATTTGTCATCATCTTTGCCTAAAATGGTCTTCTCTCATACTAAAGCTTTAATTTATTTCCTCCTCATTTTTATGTCTTTATCTAAATTCATGTTTAAAAGAAAATAAAGCAACTGTAATTCTATTCTTGCAGTTGAAATTATCTTAGGATGTGACAATAATAGAAGTATTTGAACTGATAAGATGGATTAAAATGACGAGTTTGTAGAGTTATATTTTTTATGTACTTATTTTAAAGGCCATATACGTATCAGTTTAAGAGGTTGAGTCTACTCAGTGAAATAACAGGCTTTAGGCAGAAAGCTAACTCTTTTAGTTTGTAGACAAGCATGTTGCTTAAATATTTTATTTCTTTCTGATAGGAATATCATTTATCCCACATCTTCCCAGATATTAACAATTCTTTAATAGGCTCGGAGGAATAGAGTCATTGTGGTCATGCATCTTTACATTTTACTCCATAGAGGGAAACTAATTATTTTAACAGCATACAGCTTTTTGTTTTCAATTCCTTTCTGTTAATAACTTTAGTTTTGTTCTTGCTGTTGTTGTTATGTGCTGTTGAGTCACCTGTGACTCATAGCAACCCTATGTACAGAAGACCTAAACTCTGTCCTATCCTGTGCCAATCTCACGGTCTCCAATACACCTGCCCCTATATTACTCCAGTCACTGAATCAATCCATCTCATTGAGGGTCTTTCTCTCCTGCACTGTCCCTCCACCCTCCCAAGCATGATGTCCCTCTCCAAGGACTGGTCCCTCTTTGCAGCATGTCCAGAGTATGTCAGACAAAGCTTCAGAATCCTTGCCTCCAACAAGCAGCCTGGCTTCACCCTCTCCAGGACAAACCTGTTAGTTATCCTAGCAGTCCATGGCATATTCAATACTCTTCTCCAACACCACAGCTCAAAGGCATCAATTCTCCTTCTATCATCCCTAGTCATTGCTCAGCTCTCTGATGCATAGCAAGTGATTGCAAAAACCATGGCATGTATCATGGCATGTTCTTATAACCTTTGAAAAAGTAATTGTTGTTGTTGAGAAAATACCCACAAAATATTTATACTCTCACTTCAAAGTAATCACCAAGGAGTCTTTAAAGATATATTTGCTTTATACTTCAGAATATGAGAGATGAAGCTTCACCATCTTTACCTCCAAGGTACACTCTGGCTGTACTTTCTGTAAGACTCATCTGTTTGTTCTTTTGACACTCCCTGGGACATTCCATACTCCTCACTACCAAAGCTCAAAGGCATCAGTTCTTTTCTCCTCCTCCTCCTTCATCCTTATTCATTTATTGTGCTCATGTGAAAACTAGACCAAGAGACTGTTGTGTGAACAGAGCAAGGGAACTACATGGTTTAAAATGATGAAAAGTGTGTGTAGGGGTTCCTTCTTCTCTCCATACCTAGTCACTTGGTCTACTGGGTAAACCATTGGAGAAGCTTGACTCTGTGAAGAAGAATGTGGCATCAAGATTGGAGGAAGATTCATCAATAATCTACGCAGATGACACCACCATGCTTACTGAAAGTTAGGAGGACTTGAAGCACTTATTCCAGAATATCAAAGACTGCAAGCTTCAATATGGATTACATCACACCATCAAGGAAAAAACAATTATTACTTTTGGAGTGATAGACAACGTCATGATAGATGGAGAAGAGATTGAAATCACTGACTTCATCTTACTTGGATCCACAGTCTTAGTACCAGCGGTCAGGAGATCAGGGGATGTATTGCATTGAGAAAGTCTGTAGTCAGGTACCTCTCCAAATTACTAAGGACCAGTAATGTCAGTTTGAGGCCTAAGGTGTGAATCTGACTGTGATCTTTTCAATTACTTCCTGTGCATCTGAGAGCTGGAGAAAGAACAAGAATAACTAGGCTCTAAGTCTGTAAAACAAATCAGGAAATATATACTGAACATTAATTTTTCTCATTATTTTAGACTTCAGTGACTATAACTTTGTTCACTAAAGATTTAATTGAGATATATTACACAAGTAAATGACCATTAAGAAAGTATACTATAGTCAAAGACGAATAGATGATGAATTACAAGCTTAGCACGCCAGAAAGATGAAGAGGGAGAAAACATGGTAAACTAATGTAGTTAGGGGAAATTTCAGTGTAAAAACAGGAAGTAAGAGTTGAATGTGATTTAGATACAGAGAAAGCAGATAATACTCCTTAAGAGGTCACATGATAGGTATTCATTGTGCATTTTTCACATACTAATGGATTACTGAGCTCTTGTGTTCCAACTGGTAGTCTAGTTGGAGTCACGCTGCCATCCCAATGACACAGAGTTTTAATCCAATGGCTGCTCCGTATGAGAAAGCTGGATCGTCTCCTACATGTAATTCACAGCTTGGGAAACCTGGCTGGAAGTTCATCTGTCTATGAGTCGGTTGGTTCTCATTCCATGGCATCGAGTGAAAGAGTGAAATGAATGATTAATGATCTTCCTGATAGGAAAGTTATGTGTACAAACATTAGAAGGTATGTATTACAAGTTAAAGGTAGCTGTCTTTTGCCAAGGAATCAGTGTTTTCAAACAGAAAATTCTGAGAAAAAGGACTTGCAATTATAGTACTAACTGTAAAGAAAGAAAACGTCTTTGGACTTCTAGTTTTAAAGTCATTAAGAACCTTTCATGACTCTACGTTATTTAAATAATAAGGCTAAATTAAATAGTGCAAGGATTTTATAAATAAGTTTTAATGAAGGAAATAAGGCACTCAGCTAGAATGGACAACATTCCATAGATTTTATTACCACAATGAAATTTAAAACAGTGCTTGCATGAAGTCACGTTTAGTTCTTTGTCAGTTTTATACCACCATGGATGAGATAAATTGACTTCTTAGTGTAAAACTGAAGGAGTTATGATGCACAAGTGGTTATGTAATAATAAAAATGTGAATAACAACTACAAATCCAAACTCACTCTTGTTAAGTCCCACCTGCAGTGACCTGAGAGAACTCAATAGAATTGCACCATAGGATATCCAAGGTGGAATCACCATGGAATAAATACTGTGAATCAGATAGAAGAAACAAAAAGGAAATCAATTTGTTCTGACATTTTTTTCTCAAAGACTTGTCTCTCACATTAGCCACCAGACTCCAATATTGATAGCGTTTTAAAGTTGATTTTTCTGTTTCTCTATTTCAACTACATATATCCATACACATACAATTATAAATTAGAAAACAATCAAATAGTACAACAAGCCCATTGCTGTAGAGCTGGAATGGACACCTAGCCGACCCTCCATAAGTTTTCAGAGAGGATAAATCTCATAGGAGGAGACTAATCGTCTTTATCTCTCAGAAGAGCTGGTAGAATGGCCTGCTTTTGAGTTGGCCATACAGCTCCTTACACAGTGGGCCACTAGAGCTTCTAGACTGTTCTAAGTGGTAGTTTGGAATTGATTGAGTTATAAATGTCTATCTTTTTAAAATACGTTAATTTCGTAATTAACTTTTCGGATGCTCTTGATGAGTTTAATTTACTTAAGTTCATCTCAGAGAAAAATTTATGTCTAATAGACTTTATCTTTTTTAGGTTTTTTCGTGCCTTCCTGATATACATCATGACCCACATCGCTGGTTAGCAGAAAGCAAGGTAATTGCTTTTGGATTTAAAGTGCTCATCATATTTATAACCTTCAAGTGATCCTATTTGGCTCAGTTAAGTGTATTTTTCACATAACTGAACATGTAAAGCTATACTTTTTCATTTTAGGAAATTACATCATTGCAGTGCATTTATGAAACCTCTTCAAGTTTGTCCTTTTTATTTAAAGAAGTGATTATATAGGCATGAAAACACAGGATAAAGGACTGCAGAACTTTTGAAATAATTAAAACTAGATTGTCAGAGAGATGAATTCTTCTGTTCTTCACTTCGAATTGACAACTTATAGGGCACTGGGACGAATCTAAATTTTGGTCCCTGTTGGTTCCTGTAGGTAAGCTCACAGCTTGCCAAATTACCTCTCTGGATGTCGTAGATACTCATTTCCAGGGATAGAGAAGTACATTTTACAGTCAGAAAATGATAGCATTGAATTGAATTTGATATAATGTTAGTAAAAAGTAAATAAAATGTAAAAACTCACTCGTTTTATAAAAGTTTCTTCTGTACTTTGATATTATTGCTATCAAATAAGTTTACTAATTTAAATACATGAAAAATTAGGACCAGGTGTGATTATGATAGCTATTTATTTAACCAATTACACTTTAATTCCATTTCACCTTAAATTTTTGTTGTTTTAATTTTATTTTTCCTGTCTTAACATGCTATACTGACTAGAAACCCTTCCATTTAATTTAAATTCTATTGGACAACAATTTGTGCTATAAACCTAATTGTTTATTATGCAATTTAGGAATTTATTACAGCAAAGATCTTTAAGATGATAAAAAAATATGTTAGAAAAGAAATAATTTTCCTAGTGTCACATAAGGACTGAGAATAACACATTAAATGTCACATGCAATTTTTTATAAACTTTCTTACAATTATGTCTAATACTATTCGAAGTCTTCATTTACGTGACCTAAATTTGGTGACTGTCCACTTTTTGTTAGACACTGTATTGTAAGGATTGGTAAGTCATGTGCCTTGCTCTTCCATGCTTTAATAGTGGAAATGGCATCAGGATTGGAGGAAGACTCATTGAGAGCCTGCTTTATATGCATATGATACAAGTTTGTTTGCAGAAAGTAAACAGAAAAACACCAAAAAGGACACACCAAAGTATTTACTGAATAAAATAAAATACTACAGCCTTCATTATGCATTGTATTTTAAACAAGAAAACAGAAATTATCACCACTGGACCAAGAGGCAGAGTGAGGATATACGGAGAAAGATTGCATTTTTTAACAGTTTCATTTTGCTTGGATCCACAGTCAGTACTCAAGAAACCAAAAGACTTGTTGCACTAGGAAAATCTGCTGCACTGGGGAAATCAAAGACCTTTCCAGGATACTAAAGAGTAAGACTTAAGATGTGGTTGATCCAAATATTGGAATTTCCACTGGCTTCCCATGCATATAAAAGTTGGACATGAAGTAGTACGAACAAAGAAGAACTTTTGCCTTTGAATTTAGTGCTAGTGAAGAATACTGAATGAATTGCCAAGAGAACAACAGTCTGTCTTGGGGATGTGCAACCAAGTTTCTTCTGAGAGGCAAGGATTATGAAACTTCATCGCACATGCTTTCGGCATTTTGTCGGGGTCGGGTGGGGGGGTGTCAGTCCTTGCAAAAGGCAGCATCCTGGGAAAGGTAGAAGATAGAGGATCTGTAAAAGACGGGATGACCCTCAGTGAAATGGATTGACACAATAATTGTAACAGTGGTCTCAAGGTTCAGATCTGTTGTTCACACAGATCTATATATCTCTGTTAGTTTCTTCTGATCTGAAAAAGAGCAATATACTTGGCATTTTCATTCAGGATGAAATCTTTATCAACAACTGTAAAAATGGACATGTAATCAATGAAAGAAATTTCTTAAAATGTGCTATGTTAAGCTCTCATTGCTGTGGACTTGGAAAAGATTTATCAGCTAGGGTTTTTTCCCAGAGGCTTTAAATTGCACTGGAGGAGATTACTCATCTTTCGATCACAGAGCTGCTGGTTAATACAGACAACGAGAGAAGCAACACCTTTGGTTAGGAGTACAGCTCCTTACAGACTGTGTGACCAGAACTATGCAGACACTGTCAGAGGAACACAGAAGGAACACCGTCTGTTCTGGGAAGATAGACGCATATGATATTGCCAACAGATCACACTGGACTTTCTGAAAAAAAGTCATATTAAACTAGGTCTCATATATAATGATATTCCTCAGTTGGCCACTTATAGATTGAGTAGTGGCAAGAAGATTCACTGAGATCGATGATAAGGTAAAGCTCTACTTTAGAGAAGGTTCTTAAAATGCACACACGTACACGTAAACATCATTTTACTAAATAATTAACAGTATCATGATTGAACACACATTTTTCCATGACTATGTCATCTTTTCTGTTACAGTATGTGTTCTTCCTTCAAATTTTTATGGAACAAAGTGCCAGTTTGTATTTATGCCACCTGTATAGGAGATGCAGTACATCCACCTCTCCCTCTCCCTCTCCCTCTCTCTCTCTCTCTATCTCTATCTCCCCACACTTTATCCCAGGTACTAGGGGAACACTAGCCAGGGAATCTCATGGACACCATTGCCAGAGAAATTGGTTTTGGGGATTTGGGGAGGAGAGAGAAGCAGAGCTTTCCTGATCACTTTTCCTGATATCTATATCTATATATCTCTGTTAGTTTCTTCTGATCTGAAAAAGAGCAATATACTTGGCATTTTCGTTCAGGATGAAATCTTTATCATTTCTGAACCGAAAGCTTCCACTGCTGTGGTGCAGTTAAATTATGAGAGCAAGAGATGACTCTTAATCATAGCTCTTTAATTTGGGAGCCAGAGAGTTGTTTCTCCTTATCATTTAATAGGATTGAACTTCTGATCAGACAGTTTTAATGCTGCAGGAGACAACTGCTCCTCTATAGTGTAAAAGGGCCATGATAAGCGATACCGTGCTGATCAACTGACTCGGTAACAATTGAATCTATTTGCTGGAGAGATGGCGTGGATTATTGATGGGCTACAATACTGTAATTCCTGTGAGCTATGACTGGACAGCTCTATAAGTATTAAAGATAAGATCTCAAATCAGAGGACACCAACTATATGGAAAGTAGAACCGCTGTTCTGCTAGTTCATGCTGACATCTTGCAGTATTAGAAGGACCCCTGAGGGCATGCAGTAATTGTTTTAATAAATCTGCCAACTGGATTTCTTCTGTTGGTGTTAATCCTGGCAGAGCCAGATGATTGGATCGAGATTAGTGTCACTCTTACTTTGTTAGCAGTGCTGGCGTAAGGCAAACTTCAAGTCCAGCTAAGATCAGATTCACGGGTAACATAACCTGTGAAGGGCAATGAGGGTTCATTTGGCCATTAAAGAATCTCAGGAAAGAACCCTCAGACATTAGGGATTTGTGTTTGTCATAAATTGGCACAAGGCACGCAGAGAGCCAAATACAGTTTAGCTTAATGGAGAATCTATTATATCCAGTAGCCTCTATGTCCTGGCTGCTATACTATATGTTGTGGACATAAAAATGGGTAAGAGATGAGCCTTGCTCTTGGTGAACATGTTCTTTGTAGAAAAGGCGGCAACACATGGAGATATTTTAGTACTATGGGATAGAATGCATAAAGAGTGATTTCCTCGGCATTTGTGAGCGGAACTGGACTGATTTGGGTTGTTTTGAATCAGACAGTGATATAATCTAATATGCCAGAAATAACAAATTGAAAAGTAATTGTACCGCATTGATAGTAAAATCTAGTATTTCAGGATCTGTCCTAAAGTGCAATACTGTCAGAGGCACGATAATGTCGAGTCCCATATTAGGAAGGCCTCTTAATACAACTGTTCTTTATATATATATATATCCATTAAACATGAATGCCAATGATAAGACATTAAGGACTGATCAAGATGCATCGATATTAATTGGTGACTGGAATGCAATAGTTGGAAATAAAAAAGGACTGTGTCATTGCTGGTTAGTCAGAAATGCCACATAGCTGCGGGTTTTCATGGGCTGTAAATCACATAGGAGGACATTACTCATCTTTTTCTCTTGGAACAACAGCTGGTGGATTTGAACCACATGCCTTTGGCTTGTGCAGTGTAACTCTCCACCCACTAAGCCATCAGAGCTCCCTAAAGAAGAACTTATTTGTTGGGAGATGGGGTGAGGTATATCTTGGTGATAGAATTGAGACGGAAAACAACATGGTAGAATTTCATATATAGTCAATGACTTATTCATTGAGCAGAAATAGTGACTCAACCCATATATGTCACCTGAAGGACTGCACCGAAGTCAGACTGACTACATGTGTGTAGATAGTAGAAAAGCTCAATACTGACAGTCAGAGCAAGGCCAGGACACAGTTGTGGACCAGATCATCAGTTGCACTTCTTGTTAGTACATGATCCAGTTGACTGCGATTCATAGCGACCCTATGAACAATAGATAGGATTGAGCAATAGATAGGGTATTATTCTGCACTGGCCTCACAATCTCTATAATGTGCAAACCCATTATAGTTGTCACTGTGCCAATCTATCTCACCAAGTTCAATCATTGTTATGTGCTGTAAAGTCAACTACAGCTCATAGTAACCTTATGCACAATAGCTCTGAACCCTACTCTATCCAATATCTCTGTCCCTGACACACCTACCCTCATTACTCCAGTTATTATGTCAATCCATGATAATAAGAGTCTTCCTCTTCTGCTCTGTCCCTCCACCCTTCCAAGCATCATATCCTTCTCCAAAAACTGGTCTCTCCTGGCTACATACCCAAAGTATATGACACAGAGTCTCGAAATCCTGTCCTCCAGGAGGAAGCTTGGTTTCACCCTCTCCAGGACAGACATACTTATTCTCTCGGCGTTGTGTGGTATGTTCAGTACTCTTCTTCAGCACCACAACTCAGAGGCATCAATTCTTCTGTCATCCTTGATCATTGTCCAGTCCT